TCTAATCAATAGTGAAGTATACAGATATACACTAGAAACTCAGGAGTATTTTATTTATTTATTTAATTTTTTTGAAAAAAGAGGTTTCTGTGCCAGAGAGACAGAGAGAAAGAAATCGAGAAATTACTCCCCCAGTGGGGCTGGCCACACTACAATCCCTTTTCCTCCATTGGGCATGCACGCACAGGCGCTCGGTGTGAGTTTAAGCCACCAGGTAGGTCCAGGACTCAAGCCATGGTTGACTACATGGGAGTCCAGCGACATAGCCATTATGCCAACTGCTGGTCCCCTAGACGTATTTATTTTAACCATCATCTCTCCTTGATAGTTTCACTCTGTCTTAACACTTTAAGTAACTTCCACTGTGTTTAGATTTCCATTCCCAGTGACTGAAAAACAGTAATTAATCCAGAATCATATAACAATCAGTGGCAAAATGAACTAGATCCTGCAATGTTTTAACATTTTACCTGAAAGAAGATGAAATGAAAAATATCTGGAAAGCAGATGTCCTTTGCTTTAAGTATTAGGTTATTGCATAACAAGTCTAAAAGACAGGTAGCTTGAGTTCCCCCTATAAATAGGCAAAGGGTTATAGTAAGGGTAACAAACAATAGTCTAATAAGTTTGAGTAACAAAATGAAGGCATCCTTTTATTTAAACTTGAGCCTATTCAAGAAAAGGGAAAGTACAATTTGTAGAAGCCTCTGCTATTTCAAGATAGAGTGGATGACTAGTGAAAGAATATTTTGAGCAGGTATTTTCAAGATGTAAAGGGAAATTCTAGACATAAATATAATACTTCACCATACATTTTTATAAACAGAGAAATCAGAGGCAGACTAGTTTTATCAGTTTGCCCAAACTAAAAAGGCTAACAATACTCCAGCAACAGGTGGCTTACAGGTCAGTAAAGAGGTAATAAGGTAGAGAATGTATTACTTCCTTGTGCTAAGAGGTAAGAAAAAACATGAAAAATGTTCTTTTCAAGGTCAATTGGATTTGAATAATGTTTTATTAAGCTAGATAGATACTTGTTATCAATATCAATCACTTTTCTAGGACCAAAAGTAAGACACATCTAAAATTAGAATAAACATTAAAAAGTACGTAAGGACAAACCTGCTTTAAGTTATTTTGTTTAGAATTACCTGAGTATAATCACATTCCCTGCCCTCTAAAGTCTCAGTGTTTCTAAAATATCATTTCAGATTTAGTAGCATTAAATAATCATTCCTAATAAAAAAATTAGTTAAGGAAATCACAATACTTTAAAATAATCTTCTATATATTCATATTTAACTTAAATTACAAAGACTTATGATGATATACTAAGTACATCATACTAAGTATGATCCCAATGGATCGGATTTGACTTTTTTGTAATTTTCAAATACTTTACACATTTCAACCCAAATCCAAACTACAACCATTTCGATGAGATGAGCAGGTATCTTCTGTTTTAGCTAACTTCCAGCTAAGGCTACAATTCAATACATTAGGTCATCGGGAAAGTCATGACAAAAATGCATCATGACTTTCCTCACAATCCAATACTTTAGATAGCAAGAATTAATCTTGGGACCAGCAGTTAGTGTAATGGTTATGTTGCTGAACTCCCATGTAGCCGACCACGGTTTGAGTCCTGGACCTGGTGGCTTAAACTCACACCAGGTACATGTGCGTGCGTGCCTAAGATCCCAAGAGGAGAATGGAGGAGAAGGGACTGTGGCATGGCCATCCCCTAGGGGGTGATTTCTTGCTTTCTATCTCTCTGTCTTTCTGGCGAGCACACGCACCCTATAGCAAAAGCTTCTCCAAAAAAAAAAAGAATTAATCTTATTCTTCAAACTCCAGACATATCAAAGAACCACTAAATGCTACTTTTCTGCTTCCTAATTAAGTGGATAACTACCATTTTCCAACTAGCCATCCTCTTGCCCTAGCCTCCATAAAAGAAAGCCTGTGTACTATTTTAATCATTTCTATAAAGTCAATTAAAACAGCTTACCTAAAATCTCTGGCCAGCAAAGCGCCTTGTTATTGCAAGATCTAACTATATCTTAATTCAGATTATAAGCAGCACTCAAAAAAATTCATGTTAAAATAGGAATCACAGCAAACACAAACTTTACAACTGAGGATACAAAAACATCAGACACCTTTAAAAAGCCCAAACATATAAAAAGCAAAACCCAGAAGGTAAGTTAAATAACAAACCAACAGGAATGTTAGAGGACTAGATAAGACTTTCATGAAAAACAAGATGCTAGTCAAAAAGAGAATCAACTAATTTTTATAACCAATTACTAGCACAAACAGGCAGCAACATTTAAGTATTTTATGCTACAATGGTACAAAACTCTTAGGCTCTGCAAGCAAAATTCTAATTCAATACCTGCAATTATTTGCCTTTTTATAGCGAATAGTTGAGGGATGGGTGTTGCTAGATAAGTGACAGAGAAGCATTTCACCCTCTATCAGAGAGCATGGTAACAGATTCATTAACTCCTTTATATAACCATCCTCTTAGTGACAAGATTTAAAACCTTGAGCCATCTCCATCCTCCTCTTGCTCTGTCTCTAACTCACCTTCCAAATTCTGAAGACTTCCATATCTCTCCTTACATTTCTATTGTCATTGCTCTTGCATAGGACTTTCAAAATGACCTCACCTAGGTACAGTTTCTCCTCTCTACCAAGTACTTTACCTTTTATTTAAAGAGCAGGTGCATCACACTAATTCTTTTTAAAAATTCATTAATTCCTCACTAAAAATTTAATTTTAACATCTCAGACTAGCACTCTATGTCTCCTATCTGACAGACCTTACCAATCCAACTCAATTCTCATATCCTACTTGCCAATATTTTCAGTAAATTCCCCACACTGTCCCAGGTTACTCCCTGCTTAGATGCACTCCTTCTTCACCTCTAATCTCCTCTTCCACTTCAAATAGCTGTCTTTCAGCGTCCATTCACACACCATTCTGAAAAGCCAACTACAAAGTACTTTCCTCTGAACTTCCACAGCATTTCGCACATACCTGGAATGGCACTTCACCAATCTGTCTTGTATTACAGTCATGTGTATATGTGCTTATACTATACTTTAGGAACCAATTTACTGGGATCAGCAGATGGCATAATGGTTATGTTGCTGCACTCTCATGTAGTTGACTGTGGTTTGAGTCTAGAACCAGGCAGCTTAAAACATGCTGGATACGTGTGCGTGTGTGCCCAAAGTCCTGAGAGAAAAATGGAGGAGAAGGTATTGTGGCGTGGCCATCCCCTGTGGGAGATAATTTCTCACCTTCTGTCTCTCCAGCAAGCACACATAATCTATAGCAAATATTTCTCTTAAAAAAAAAAAAAGGAACCAATTTATCAATACCTGTGCAGTACTTGTTAGCACAATGCAAAAAACACAGGATTTGAAAATTGCTCGTTGAATTACTGAATAAATCAGCCAATCTCTTTTTCCAGAAGTAGGCAAACAGCCTAATTCTTGCTGGTAATAATAAAGCAACTAGTACTATATGGTTCATTCCAAACACTCAAATAATTATATTTGGTCTACTGTTTTACAAGGCAGAAATAAGAACATGTGAGAAATATTGCCATTAAAATGGAAAATCAAGCTTGACATTTAAAGGCCTAGTCTTCAGTTACCTAGAATATCTACTCAACCTAGACAATTGATTACTCTCTGTTAAAAGAAAAAAAAAAAAAAAGACAATTTGGTGGAGTTTAATTGAGCAAATCTTAACACTATTTGAATACGGCAGTTTGCTGGACCAACTTCAGAGCAACCCTGGGTAGCCTTGTCACACATTATTTAAGCTCCAGAAAAGGAAAGTGACGTGTATAGGAATGGGAAAGTGATGTACGAAAATGAAAGCGAAGGAATGCATCAATTGGATTGGTTACATTCTGAAGTTTCTCTGCATTAACACATTTTAAAAGGTGGGATGCCTGTGACTGGCTGAAGCCTACTTGCTGTGACTGGCTGTAACCTAGCCAAAAGAAAAAGAAAAAACAAAAGCAGCCTTTTCTATAATAAATGAGGTTGTGGTTTGTTTACAGCAACCACACAGGAGTACAGAGCTTTTCCAATATTCTTTAACACCCGCTAACCCTAAATATATGATACTTCACTGTGCAGATAAATGCAGATAGCTACATGCTCTTAATGAAGAATAGTACCACAGAAGTTAACCATAGCTAAGAAAATATATAAGCTCATCTTTCACTGTCTCATGGACAGCTTTCTGAAATCGAAGTTAGACCATGCTATTTTCATATTATAAAAAAATCCTTCAATAACTTGCTGAATCTTTATAACCATGCATTCAAAACATCAACGCAATATTTTTGGCATCACCCTCTCCAAACATCTAGAATCTCCTGGAATTTCTTAAACCCCAAATTTCATCTCTTTGAGCCCACACTATACTCTTCCTGCCTGGGATGTTCTACCTTCATCTCTTGTCCCTAAAACTCCACTCATCCTTCCAGTTAGCGGCACTACACTTGTACCTATGCCACTGGACCATGGATATGCCTACATAGCTGGAACACAGGCTCATTACAGCCTCTCAGACACAAGCTCGGCCCTGGTACAAGAACTCATCTTTTGGTGAATGAGTGAAAAACTTCTATGAATACTAATTTTCTTTTTTTTTCTCACATTTAAAAAATAATGACAAGGCCAGGCAAGCAGCATGGCGATTAAGGAAACTGGATCCCACATGGCGAACTGCATGGTTTGAGTCCTAGATGTGGCTGCTTGAAAAACATGCCAGGCCTGTTTTCATGTGAGCCCCAAATCCTGAGAGGACACTGGAGGAGAAAGGATTGCCACATGACCATCCCTGGGTTAGGGAGGTGATGGGGTGGGGGGGGAGTGATTTCTTACTTTCTCTCTCTCTGGCAAACACACATACCCTATAATAAGCCAAAAAAGTAAAATAAAATAATGACAAAAAACACACCAATATTTAACTATTTTTATTTTTTTCCTTTTCTCTCCTTTACAGACTCTACTTAATAATGAGACAAGTAGTAAAAAGCAGCAGGAAAAAGGAGCCCCTTACTCCGTAGCTACCCTCAACAGAAAGCCTACACTAAAATAAACAACCTCAACTCTTCCTGCACTCACAGCCAAGATGCCATTTAACTGTATACTATAATATCTTGCACATTTTTCTAATTTTGGTATTTTCCTAAACTCTGATGGCAGAGACGAGACACATATCGCACTTTTCACTTAATCCCCACACAGCCCACTCTGCAGAACGTACTAAGGTATCTCTTTTCAATAGAAACTGGTTTGCTCCATTAAAGTTTAATCTTATTAAGATCAAAACTTTCTTTTTTTTTTTTTTTTTTAAGTTTATTTATTTATTTATTTTTTAGAGACAGCGAGAGTGAAAGAGGCCCCTGAGGTCTTCATGCTGTGATCCATCCCCAGTCTTAGTCAGCCTGGATCATGGGCACAAGCACACTTCTGGTGTGTACAGGGATGCCCCAGGGTACAAATCTAGTATCTTCTGACATGGGTCCAGCAGCATTACCAATGCCCCACTGTCTGGCTCCATTCTATTTATATTCTTTCAGGCTGAATGAATCACTGTAAAAGTACGCAATTTCTTGAATATGCAATTTATAATAATTTTTAAAAGGACACTAAAGAGACACTCATGAAAGGAAAAGTACTTTAATGCATATTGCACCGTTTCACGCTACCTTTATTTTTTTAATCACAGCAGAAGGAGCTCCTGTAACACTTTTCATGATATATCTGAATGACTTTTCTAGTGGTTTCAAAACCCACTCAGCACCTGGTACTGTATATGTTCATTAGCACTTGTTGTAGCCTCTCTATGGCCAATTACATCATTAAAGCAGAAAACAGGCAACACACACACACACACACACACACACACACACCCTATTTAATAACATGCAAAACAAACTGGATGGTATAAAAAAATTAAATGCCGACTTAAAACATGTAAATAGATATACTGAAGTAGTGGTATTGATGGAAGTTCTAGTACCAATTTGTTAATTTTTTCTCATCAGAAAAGTCAATCATGATGTGTGAATCATTTGTTGCTGCAGTTGTGTTATACTTCCAAAACATTAGGAAGGAAGTGTTCTGAAGATAATGAAGTGAAAATCCTCCAAAATGTATTTGTGTATGTAAAAATGTTTTTCTTGCATTCACTTTAAATAAGTAACCAGAAAGTATAATTAACCTTAAATCCCAAAGTTCAGCATTTGATTTTAAAACTATGATCTACAGCTAAAAGCTGAAAGAGTAAATAAAATCCACAGGCTGTCACAGAACTGTTATAATTTCTACATACTTCTTTTTGTTGGTTCTAGTCAGTAATAGTCCTCAATCTTTGAGTGGTGACTTCTTAGTGGGTAGTAAATCAATTCACTGGATCATAAATAGCATTAATTTTTAATGAAAAATAATAAAATTATTAGAGTACATCACACTCAATTCAAGTGAGTAAGTGAGCAAGAGATTTCATGTGTATATTAATGTGAGTTTGTATGCAGGCTCATGATGTAAAATGGAGTCTGAGCAAAAATGTTGAGTGGCACCATTATTCTTTCTTCTTCTCAAGACATAACAGAATGCTATGTACTATACAGAGAAGTACTAGGCAAACGTGCTTTCATCTTATGGATCTATCTTCTTTCACAACATTCTCTCCACTCTGACTTTATTTTCCTTTCCTTACCTGTTCAATTTCACTCTTACTTTGACCTCAAAATACCTTTTTAATTCCCATCTGCAGATTAGGTTGGTAGAACATGCTTTACCTTAAATAATTTTAAATGTTCTAAAAATTTTAATAATTGGGATGACCATATAATTTATCATCAAACCTAGGACACTTAGAAAAGAGGCATAATTACTCAGTTTGGACAAGGTCAAATTAGTATGTATAGTTTCTCAATCAATAACTTATTAATACTGTGTTCTCAACATTTCCATTATGGAAAAGATATCATTTAATTACTTTTCATCACAAAAAGTTTTAATAATAATTAAAACAAAAAACCCAAAAGCCTTGAATAGAAATGATACCATAACCTTTCTCTGGATTTTAATGAAAACTACATAGTTTTATTAAGATAAGCCAGGAAAAAAAAATGGAATGAGTCTGTAAAACATTAATCTAAATAGAACAAATCTGACAGAAAAAAAAAGGCAAAGAAAAAAGAAAGCAAGCTACTACCAATAGTGCAGTCTATAGCAACTAGAATAAATTCCTGAACAGTAAGTCTCTCTTAAAGGAATAACATGGTATATAAAGTAAACACTTTGGTATTAAGTCTCTTTAGATATTGAAAAAGTTTCATATCTTACCTACAATTAAAGACATAAGATACTTTTTAATTAACTAATTAATTAGTCAAAGAGGTTTTTGCTATAGGGTATGTCTCTCTAGCCAGAGAGACAGAGAAGAAATGAGAAATCACCCCCCAGTCTCCTCTCAGGATTTTGAGCACATCTACACATGTGCCTGGTGTGAGTTTTAAGCTGCAGAGTTTGGGACTCAAATCGTTATAGACCTTATGGGAGTTCAGCACCTTAACCACTACACATCTGCTGGTCCCAACAACTTATTTGAATCTACCCAATGGACTACAAATTGGGTCAATTATGGGCAATTTAAAAAAAAATGTTTTTGCCATATGAGGCATGTGCTTGCTTGACAAAGAGAGAGAGAGAAATTATCTCTGAAAGTGAGAAATCAGCCTCCAGAGGAGATGGTCACACTGCAATCTCTTCTTCTCCATTCACCTCTTGGGATTTGGGAAACACACATATGCCTGGCATGATTTTCAAGCCACCAGGATTTAAACCGCAGTTGGCAATATGGGAATCCAGCACCTTAAGCACCATGCCACCTGCTGGCCCCATTATGGGCAAATTTTAATGTGTAAAAAGTATTCATTTTTGACAATTTAACATTCCCAAGCATAGTTACCTCTTCCAAGTCTTCAATTCTGAATTTTTCTACTCTCCTGGTTAGTTTCTATTACTAAATATATATACACATATATATTCATATATACCATCAATTCTTTTATTTAACTTTATTTATTTATTTATTTATTTACCTATTTTAATTTGACCAGAGAGGGACAGAGTGAGAGAGAAAGGGAAAGTGAGAAAGTAAGCCGCTAGGTTCGGGGCTCAGTTGGTTGGCCATGTGCGAGTACAGCACTCTTAACCACCATGCCAACTGCTGGCCCCAAGGAAGATTATTTTTAATTTACACTTGTTACCTTGGAATTAGTTTTAATGTTGCACAGTTCTCACAGATGCTTAAAATCTTCTATGCTTAAAAAAATTTCTAAGTGCTCCTGATTCCTAGTTCTGTTTTTTCTAATCCATGCTATTTTGGCATCTCTCATTTCTGATTTTCCACCAGAGGAAGAGTCCGTGGATGACAGCCTTCAGGATATATGCAAAGCTTATTTATAAAAATTCTTTTCTCTATGGATGAATAAGTGCATATTTTTGGAAGGCGGGTCCATAGCTTTCATAAAATTCTCAGAGGTAAGTGACTCAAAAAATATGAGAACTGTCAAATTAGAAGTGTTTGAGTCATCAGTAAATATTTTGAGAAAATTATGACTCTGTTGGGACAACAAGGCTAAAATAGTTATAATTATTAACAGTAACAAGAGTATTCTTTTCAGTCTATTCACGCTAACTGGAGAGAGATTAAGTTAGAAGGAATATTTCTTCCTCAAAATGTCACTAGTTCTAGAGAAGAGGCCAGAAGCTATTCTAAGAGCTGGTGACTTCTTAAGAAGGCTTGAAAGTGAATTCTATCACAGGTAAACAAATGGGCTTTTATCTCTACCATTTAATCTAGGACTCTCTGAGCATTTTCTTCAAGAGTGGATACCCAATTTCAAAACCACATGAATGAAACCTGCCCAAACTAGGGATAAGTAGCCTTATGGAGGCTTTATTCCTAGTTTCCTTTTATATTGCTTCAGTTTTGTGATATATTTAGTTAGGTGTTATAAAAATAAATTTGTAATTTATTAATCAGAAGATATATATTCGTGAGAAATGATGCTTGTTACTCATGTGAATTGGTGAATTCCTTATAATATAGAAACTTCTAGGACCACCAGGTTAGACCACTGCTTTTTTTTTTTTTAAGGTTTTTGCATGCTCGCTGGAGAGAGACAGCGACAGTGAGAGGGAAAGTAAGAAATCACCCCCTAGGGGTGATGGCGATGCTGCAATCCCTTCTCTTCCATTTTTCTCTTGGGATTTTGGGCATACGCGTACACACAAGTACCTGGTGTGATTTCCAAGCCGCTAGGTCCAGGACTTGAACTGTGGTCGGCCACATGGGAGTTTAGCACCTTAACCACTATGCCACCTGCTGGCACCGAGTGACCCTACTTTACACCAGAGATATAGAATAAAATAATATATAAGTGGAGTTTATAAATAAAATGTAGAAGTCTATTTGGAAAACAAAAAAAATTAATAAATCAGATGGTATGGATAAGCAGCAAATACACCTATTCTGCTCTACTTTTCAAGATAAAAATTTTTTTAAAAATTCAGAATTTATAAGGAAAGGAGGCATAGTTTTTTGTCTCTCAGAAGTGGGTACTGGGTGTGTGAAAACCATTACTCAAGGTTTTCTTTAGCTCTTCATTTTATTTTTCTTTATAAAAGCCTGCCAAATACCTGCTACATTTTCTAGCCCTCTGACATTTTGATTAGTATTTGTTAATGATATTTTAAAAACAATACTCTCTCTTTTCTTGATGGTTTAGAATATATCCCATTTCATACATATTACTTTTCTCTCTGATAAATGAAATTTTTAGATAATATTAGTAGAGATTTAATACTAGCTATTTCTTTTTTTTATTTTTTCACCTTAAGAGATTTTTGTTCTAGGGTATGTGCGCTCACCAGAGAGACAGAGAGATCAAAAGCGAGAAATCATCCCCCAGGGGAGATAGCCACGCCTCAACCTCTTCTCCATTCTCCTTCTCAGGATTTTGGGCGCGCACACGCACACACACACACACACACACACACACACACACACACCCCTAGCATGAGTTTCAGGCCAATGGGTCTGGGACCCAAACTGCAGTTGACCACACAGGAGTCCAGAGCCTTAACCACTACACAACCTGCTGGTCCCAATACCAGATATTTCTAAACAAACCATTGATTCTACGTCCTGAAGGATTTTTAAATGAGACAAAAACATTTTGTTTTAAATAGACTAATAAAATCTGGACTTGAAAGATCTTGCCTTGTTGACTATTTGCAAAATCTGCTTGAATAGTCATTATCAAACATTTTCTTGAGTTTTCCCAAGTTTAATCTAAACCAAACTATTTCTTGGGTCCCTGTTCTTTCTAATTAGTCTCTCATTTATTAAGTCTTCACCAGAATACTCCACACCTTAAACCCAACTGCATTTTAGAATTTATTAGCCTTTATTCTAAAATAAGACATCCAACAAGAAAATCTACTGTGGTGCCAGTCAGTGGCATGGTGGTTAAGGTGGCTGGATCTGACATGCACAATTATGCAGTTTCAGTCCCAGACCTGGCAGTTCTAAAAACATACTAGGCATATGTATATGCATGCCCAAACTCCCAAGATGAGGACGGAGGAGAATGGAGGAGAAGGGACTGTGATGTGACCACAGTTTCTTTCCCACTTCTCCTACCTCTCTCTCTCTCTGGTAAGCATGCATGAGCCCAACAGTAAATTAAAAAAAGAAAAACAGAAAACACAACCCAGGTATATGGTAGAAAATAGTGACTAAAAACAGAGATCTAGGGGAAAACAGCCTTGATTCGGATTTTCACTTTGCTATTAATAACTAAGTTTGGGCAAATAGCTTAAGTTCTCTAAGCCCAAGTTTCCTGTAAAATGAAATTATAATACCTATAACAAATATGGCTGATGCGAAATTATATGTTATACACAAAAATCGCCTAGCACGGTGCCCAACATATAGTCAGTGTTCAAGAAAGGTTAGTGGCTATGATGTTAACAGTAATGATAATTTCTCACTTCTACCGTCTCTTATTTTCCTTTGCCTCCCACCTCTGATGTCTGTACTTATAGAGTCTTAAGAAAGTGGGTATGTAAAATTATAGATTCACAGTAGGTAGATTAATGCAGTACAATAAAAACTGCTCTACTTCTCTCCCTTCAACAAAAATGGTCAACAGTCATCCCTGATCACTTGTGTATCAAGTCAAGAAATAAAGCAAAGAAGCAGAAGAAAGACACCAGTATGAACACAAGTGTTTCTTTGGCAGCAAGAACATATTGAATATAAGTTATAGGACATGAAGAACAAAAAAGTTGGGAAAACAATAACTACAAGAAAGCAGAAGGCAGTAATCTAAAAGAGCAAGAGAAATAAAGACCGGAAAAAGAATTTTAGGCAAAAGGATTTACATAGATCTATTTAGAAAAGAGTATATTTTAAGATGTGACAGAAATGGGATTTGCTGAAGCAGGGTAGCTTGAAAGAATACAAATGAAAGAGCAAAGCATTTTGCAGGGTATAAGAAGCATATTACATATGAGTAAGTTAATAAAATTTTCATAGATGAGCAGTATGAAGAGATATCTGCAAGGTTGGGCTAGCCAACCAAAAATAACACAGAAATGTGCATGTTAACACATACGTGCAGTTATATTTATTAATCCTCAATATTGTTTTGGGGCATTAAAAGAAAAATCTATTCAGTTGTCAGCCTGGGCCATTATTAAGGCTTGCCCCTTCAAAGAGCTGATCTATAAACTAATGAAACTCAATAGAGTTTGTTTAGTTTAGTAATCAATCTTACGTATTTAAAGTTTCTTAATAAAGCATTTCCTCAAGCTAGAAATGTAATCTTTTTTTTTTAACCACAGAGAGGTATCTTACTAAAATCTACTAACAAAAATAAATTTAAAAAATCAAAATAGTATAATTTAAAAATCAATAGAATTAATGTAGACTTGAAAGTTCCACACCTCTACTGGGTTATTTTTTTTTAATCCCAAATCTAGTCAATAAGAATCAAATGAAAAAAATAACGTGCTCGAATTTACACCTAACAGTTTACAAGTTGCTGAAGTTTAATGTGTATTCAGACTCAGCTGCTGCTTACTAAAGAAAGCTATAAATATTATCTGAATTAGCACCAGTCTGGTGAGAAAAAAAAGTGTATTGTATCAAACAGACTTGCTGTGATATCTGTTCAAACATACCTGTACCAGTCAAAAGTCCAGCACTCTTCTTTCGTGCATAAGCGCGTAAGTGGTTGGACAGGCTAACAGCACTTGTAAACGTCGTATTGCAATGCACACATGTTCTAAGCTTCACAGGCATACCTATCATTCAAAAGAAAACTATAATCCAGTTCTCACTTCAAAAAGTGAAATTTTCTTAGCGTAAAGTGTGTAGAAAAGTACCACAATAAAGATGGTTTAGAAAACGTTTCATTGAATTAGCTTAACTTAAAATAAGGAGGGGGAATTAAGTTAACTCTTATTAGTTCGTAGTTAGTATTTAGAGCCGACCTGTGCTCTTTGGAAAGGTAGAAGGGAATGACTTGAACCTCTGAACTCCTCTGGATTTAACACCTATTATCACTTTCTTGCAGATTTCTGTGTTACGCAGATCACTTCTAAAACCTACTAAAATACAATCCTGTGATTTGAATAGCACAGTTCTGTTGAGAAGTTTCAAAGCTTACAACATTACCAATAAAAAGAATTTAAGAGTCTAGTTGACAAAGTGGTAATTAAAGTGTTTTACCCACAAAACCGTAAAAGGCTCAATACTAAATTAGGCTTTCTGATGAAGGCTGGGAGAAAAGGTGGTAAAACACACCACTGAACAGCTGTTAGACACAACATTTTATTCAGGGCATTTTATGTTCATTACTCTGAATGCGCAATCAATAATGAAAGTTAATGATTTGAAGTTTTTTGCTAAAATCTTTGTGCTAAATAAATGATCAACAAGCTAACATCTTAGTAATTGCAGGAAAGAAAACATGTTGAAACAATGAACTCCTAACTTCTCAGACAACCCTCACTCCCCCAACATGTTTCAATTGGTTTCTTCAATATAAATCACATGATAATCACAAATATGCTTTCATTCTTGTAAGTATACTACCCTTGATCAACATAGCTAACACAGCTTCCCTACATTTTATACTTCTAAAAATACTAAAAGCTATTAACTTTGAAAAATTCTTTGTACAAAAAAGGTATATTATTATCCACAAGCCCGTACAAGATAGACTGTTTTTCAAACCACTTACAGTACAAGGTCATCTTTCCTTAAATTGAAACTCCACTACAAATACTGAAATATCTCAATGTCTGCCCAAAATAAACAAACAAACAAAAAATTACAGCAATTTTATTCATTATTAATCCACTGGCAAGTCACTTAGACACATTCGTTCAACTTAGGACTCTATAAGACTAAATAAAACTTGAGCATTCTTAACCTCCAAGAGAAAACTTTAAAGACACAAAACTTTTCCAGTGCCTAAGTACAAACCAGACTTAACAATACCAAATAAAGTTTAGCTATTTTATCTGCTATATCACTTGCCAAAACATATAAAGGTCTCCTAGGAAAAGGAAAAAACTACTGGCGCACAAACACTAAGCTAAATCATCTGTTCCATCAGAACACCACTGGAGAATCTAAAATACCAAACAAACGTTTTATACTCACAACAGTTCTCTAAAACCAAACTACCCCACAGTACAATGAGGAACTTGAGTTAATCACAGCACACACCAACCACCAAACCATTCCATTTAAAAAGTCTGTTTTAACTACGCAGTGGGGAAAAAAAATATCAATAGCTAAATCTTTAAAACATTATCATTTTGGAGCACTAGCAAAAATACAACAGAGGTTTGCCTACATGGCAAAGTTATGCTTTTGAACAATGTCAACCTCCCGTCCATAACCATCCTCTAGCCGCAGCAAATTCCTTTTACAGAGCAGCTTTTCATTTGTTTGTTTTTATGGTTTGCTTTTGCCTTTGTTCTCACCTCACATTCAGACCAAGAAATGAGGCATATCAGTGCTGATGAACATCAATGGATGTGTTATATAGAAATGACAGTAGAATAACCAATCTGTGCTCTGCTAAAAAGCAGCTTAAATAAGATGATTCTGAGAAAGTGTTTTCCACAAATATCCCATTAAAGGAAGCATAACTAAAATGTTTAAATTATAAATGACGAGATTGTCATAAATGTCCTCTTACCTGAGTGCATAGTCAAGTCCATTTTTTGTGGTTGATACATCAATGGACTGTCTTCACTTAATGGAAGAACACATTTCTGAACAAATCTCTTTCTTGCTGTCTGATTATGCATCTTTTGAGGAGAAATAGCAGAATTCCTTTCTTCACCCATCCTTTTATTTTTAAGAAGTTCTATCAGAGTGAGAGACTGATTCTTTTTTCCACTGGGCAGTTCTGGTTTTGTTTCATCATATTCATTTAAGAAATTCAGCCCTTCTTCCTCTGATGCAGACACTGACAGAGCTTCAGTCTTTAGGCCATTACGGTATGCTTCAAGAGGTATTACATTTTGAGATAGAAAGTCATCACTTGATGCAAGTTTTTGAGCTACAAATGGTCTGGGAATAATACGACGACTGTTCAATGCCTTTAAGATTTTTTCATATTTTTCTTCATTTTGCATCATCTCATTCAGAACACAGATTGGAGATTTGTGAGCATCCCATTTGGTCTTTCCAAGTCTTTTCAGGTGGCCTCTAACATGATTTGATAACCCAATTTTAGTATCAAACCAACCACCACAGAGCTGACAAGTGTGTTCAGAAGTGGTTTCAGATTTCTCTATAGCTAAAAGAAATTTGTTAAGAGTAATATCAGAATATTTTTTAATAAACTGACCACCCTAAAATGAATTAACTTTGAAATATGAAATGACGGGATTCTAAATATAGACCAAATCCACACCAAACTTTTAAACCGTCTGAATTTGCATACATACTCATTACCATGAGAACTTACCTTTTCTAACTCGCTTAACAGGTGTCCCTGTGCCAGTTCTTTTAAAATGTTGCATTTTGTCACTTGTGGCTATTTGTTCTGGTGATACAACATGACGAGCTTCATAGCTTAATCCTGCTCTGTGAAGATGTCCCCGGACGTGATTTGACAACCCAACACCTGTTTCAAATGTTGCTGGGCAGTAAGGACAAGATTTCTTCTCAAGAGACAAATCAGTCCAGTGAAAAACAGAACCATGCTTTGACAATGAAGTTTCTGCATTTTCTAAATGCTGAGGATCATGTATCTCATGCAAGAAATTATTAGTTCCAGCATCTTCATAATATTCAAAATAAAAGCCATCATTTTGATCATAACTAAGGGCAGCATTTTCTTCAGGCTCTTGACTTTCTACTTTGCTTTTAAATAAAGGAAATAAGTTTACATGTTCTTGATTAATATCACTGTAAGTTTCATCTTCTATGGCATGTGTAGTGTAGTCACCTAGTTCAACATTATCCCAGGAGCTTTCATCTTCTGTTTCATAACTATCTTTCTTTTCAGCAGAATTAAGTTTTTGCAAAACAACAACAGTCATTTTATGTAAAAAATCAGGATAGGTATCCAAATCTTCTCCTTCAACAGAACTTTCCTTCTTAGATTCCTTAATTACTCTCTTTACAGCTACACGTCTATGGTCTTTGAAGCTTTCTGGCCTTTTGGTGTCAGGGTTATGAGGGTCTGAAATAAAACTATTGTTGCGAGAATTACTTGATGATGAAAACAGATGTAAAGAATTTAATGAACTAGATTCTTTTTTGGAATGCAGAGGGTATGAGCCCCCTGATTTTTTTAATCATCCTGTAGTTTTCATATTTGTGTCTACATAAATAGTTGCTATTTGCCTTGGCATTCGATTTTTCTTTTGCTGCATGATGGAAATATTTAGGTTTTTGGTCAATGCTGTTTTTAATAATAACAGTCTTATGAGAAGAGTTGTTTTGATTGCACATGTTTACACCTGACTGGGCAATGCTTTTTCGAGCTTTCTGTATTCGGTGTGGCCTATGGAACTTTGAAAAATCACCTGGCTGTGATGATGATCCAAATGCTCGCTTTACATCTTGTTTTAAAACAGAGTTCTTTGGAAATGTGGTTGACTGCTGTTTCATTAATGGCTTAGTGCTGTCGATATCTATAGGTTCTTCAAGGATGTCGCTTTTTCTTTAATCAAGCCCAAGAGGATTATCAAATGAATCAATGCATGGTGATTAATGCAAGTACTCCATGTGCTTTTTTAAAATACTTCTGGCTGAAGAAGTAAAAGGACACGTCTTACACATGTAAGGAGCTGACTTTGTGGATGATCCTATAACAGAGTCTTTCATAAAAGTCTTTTTTTGTGTTTTTCTCTGGCCTGTATCAGAACTCACCACAGGGCATTTTACCAGTGCTCCATGGGCAATGCCTCGATGGCATTCTAACTCATTTTCTGTCACTGCCATAAAATTACACTCTTCACAGCAGTAGTACCCTTTACCTTTTTCATGAGTTTTAGCATGTTGCACAAATGTTTTAGGACAATTGGTACCAAATACACACTGAGGACACTGTAATCGTGCACTTCTTCCTTCATCCTGAAGTTCTTTCAATTCACGGATTTCCTCCATGAGCTTTTGTCTTCTTTCCTGGTGAATAATCATATGTTTTAAAAGTGAGTTGCGGTCACGAAATGTCCGTCCACATTCTCTACAAGCATATGGCCTTGGGACATTGAGATGGCGAAAGTGACTATTCCCATCTAAATGATACATCATATGCCTGTGGAGATGCTTTTTCTCCCTAAAATTCTCATTGCACTTAGCACAGGGGTAGAATGATGGCTCTTCAGCACTGAAAGTTGCAGGTGACTCAGAATCACTCTCTTCACATTTTTTTTTTAAAGTATTTGAAAGAAAAGTGCTAGTATGAACAGGGGAACTGTCTTCTCCACACTTATCTGGATTATAAATTAAATGTTGAAAACCATCCACAGATTCCAAGTCTTCATCAGTTGATTCAGGCTTCACTTTTGATAATGTATATTTCGGTGAATCTATTGCTTGTAGCTCTTCATTCTGTTCCAGAAAGTCTACTTCTAGCATTTTTGATTTATTGGGTACACAATTAGAATCACTAAAGCAATCCTCAGTATAACGAGTTATCTTGCTTACATCCATTTTTCGCTTTCTTTTTTTTTCTAAACCTACTTTAGAATGAACTGGAGCTTTGTCCACAGTTTCTTCATTAGTCATAAGAAACTGAATAAACTCTTTTTGGGGATCCCAGTTTGCATCATTTTCTGACCTAAATTCATCTGTACCTGAGGAAATTCCTGTTAATGTACTGACACTATCATCTTTTACCAGTAAATCTTCACTATCTTCACCCACCTCCACTTGATCTATTAAAGTGCTATCTGACTTTATGCTACTCCCTACTGAATTCTGAATGTCACAACCAACTGAAGCAGAGGTAGGAAGTTTTTTAATGGAATGGGTTGGATTCTCAGCATGTGCTACATCTGATAACAAAAATAAAACTTGGTGTTGACTCCCTTTCTGTGGTGTAGACAGCTGAAGATCAGCTGCTGCCTTCAAAGTTGAACAAGACTCTGTTGTTGGTTGATCCACAGGCTGTCCAGTGGTTAATGAAACACTGCCTTTATTCATATTGTAAGTCTTAGTTAAGGAGGAGTGTGAAACTGGTCCATTAACAGCAGCTGCTTTAGGCAAGATCAAGTTTTCACTAGAAACAGAAGGAGCACCAGCATGTATAAATAAAGAAGACTGGCCTCCACTTAAGGCTTTTTCAGATTTGTCCTTTGACAGTTCTTCAGGCAGAGTCAATGTATTGTTTTTCTGAAATGATGTTTGACAATCTTTTGGTTTATGAACTCCACTCTCTTTCTCTGAGATAAAACTGTTGTCATCTAGGAGTTCTTCTTTAGCACCAGTAATATCGGTGTTTATCTTCAAATCATCCATATTGTTGGCAAGCCCATTTAACACATTTAGTCTAGAAAATGGAAACAAAAAATTAGATTTACATGAAAGAAAAAATGCTATTAGAATGTATGAAGAGTTGAAAGCACACATTTTTATTAGTTTAATTTTCTATTGTTTTATATTGAAATCCTAAAACCTTTAAAAAAAATGAAGCAATACTTTTAAAAAGAATTACAGAGGGACCAGCAGATGGCATAATGTTTACGTTGCTGGACTCCCATGTAGTCACTGGTAGTTCAAGTCCTGGACCCGGATGATTAAAACTCAAGCCTGGTGCGTGTGCGTGAATCTGTGCATGCCCAAAACCCTGAGAGAAGAATGGAGGAGATGGGATTGCAGTGTGGCCATGCCCCCCGGGGGAGTGATTTCTCGCTTTCTGTCTGTCTCTCTCTGTCTCTCAGATGAACATACATGACCTATAGCAAAAATCTCTCTTAAAAAAACAAAAAGAATCTCATAAGTTTTAATATTGTTTTTCATGCTAGTTACCAACAATGATTCAATAATGCATATATACAAAATGTCTAGGGTAAAACAACACATACACACATACATACATATACACATGTAATATTAATAATTAAAATCTCTTAAATCTGTTGCTAATAAAATTATTTCACTTAAGACTGGGATAGTGATGACTGTACTAGAGAATAATTTAAATTATTTAACACTGGGGAACCAGCAGTTAGCGTAATGGCTATGTCTCTGGATTCCCACGTAGTCGACCATGGTTCACATCCCAGATCTGGTGGCTTAAAACTCACGCCGGGCGCCTGGGCATGCGTGCCCAAGATCCCGAGTGGAGAATGGAGGAGAAGGGATTGAGGCGTGACCATCCCCTCCATGGGGTGATTTCTCGCTTTCCATCTCTATGTCTCTCTCTGTCTGGCGAGCACACGCGCCCTATAGCAAAAAATCTCTCCAAAAAAAAAAAAATTATTTAACAATGCACACACACAAAAAAGTTTTGTAACTTAAAAGTTCAATCCTGGAAGAAGGTTATAAAACACTACCCAGTAAAGACCTTCATTTGAGTGAATACTTTTGCTATAACTATCAGTGGTTTATGTACAAATAATCATTTTAATTTTTTTAAGAGAGATTTTTGCTATATGACACATGTCCTCGCCAGAGAGACAGAGAGAGACAGAAACCCTCAGGGGATGATGGCCACACTGCAATCCCATCTCCTCCGTTCTCCTCTTGGGATTTTGGGCATGCATACGCGTGTGCCAGGTGTCAGTTTTAAGCCGTCAGGTCTGGGACTCGAACAACAATCGAGTATGTGGAAGTCCAGCAATTTAACCATTATGCCATCTGCTGGTCCCTGTAATTTTAATTTTTAAAAGTATCTATGACTGCTGTGCTCTTAAAATGTTTAGCATTCTTCTAAAATTATACTAATTTTAATAATGCTCTATTTGTGGGGTTTTATTCAATCCTTATTCAAATTATCCTTATTTCTAAATTTAACTTCACCAAAGAAAAAATTAATAAAGCTTTATTTTATTTTTATATGTTACACTTCCATACCCTGGGCCTCCAAATTCTAGGAATTTTTTAAAGCAGTTATCCCTTTTATAATCTGACAGCATAGTGCAATGGCCTAAAAAATTTTACAAGGAAACATTATAAATATATATTTTTAATTTATTTCCTGTAAAATGTAGATTAAAATGTTCTAGGTATTTTTGATAGTATATTTAATCATAATGAGAAGAGAACACAATATTTTAGGGAAAAACAGAGACTTCTGAATGTCTGAGAGACATTTATTCCATGGCTGTAATGACTATCTCTACTAGATTTCCCTTGAAGCCCATCCTTATACTGCACTTAAAAATGACCTCATTGTACTGGAACTGCCTGTCTTCTTGGAAGAGTATAAGCTCTTTGAGGACAAAACTTGAACCTAGTCATATGCAATCATATTTCTAGAACCTAGCAGAGATGCTTAGACAATATCAGTTTAAATAAACACCTGAACATATGTTGAATGAATAAAAACACAACTGCAAAATCAAAATAAAAGTCCCTTAAGTATAAAAAGAAAGATATTCTTACTATAG